TTGTTCTGAGGAAATAGTACATCTCAATAAATGTAGCCTCAAGTTAAGGTAAAAGGTATATAAGTTAGCTCAATAATAAATTAAATAAAATAGCAACTACACACAAAATAATTAGGTCTAATCTATTTACCGTTTTCTACAAAAACAATAAAAAGAGCTAGATATTAAAGTTTGACTCGTCAAAAAATAAACAAAAATAAAAGTAAAGAAATATAAAAATAAATTTCGTCATGGAGAGTATGTATGCAATATATCGTTGTACTATCACAAAGCACGGTGCTGCATAAAATAGTGTTATAAGAAATGCAGCTAAGGCGGAAAATTCAATCTAACCGAGATATCAAAAATAAAAGTAATTCTGATATACTCAGGAGATTCAAATCAACGCAGAGATAATATAGGAATAATTCTATGGAAGAAGGATGCGCCAAACTTGGTACGTTGAAACAAAACTGAGTGCATTGGTCCATGGAGGAAGATGATTAAGTAGAGTCGTAAGTTCTTCACTCTGACTGGAGGGAAGATCGTTGTCGAAATAAGCGCCGGTGAGACTGATATCAAAGCTGTTGTTTTTAATCGAGTCACCTTCATCTGGGACCAAGAGATCTAGCACAAGCCAAAAGTGTAAAGGCTTTTCCCAGGTTGCCCGAGGATTCAAAGGACCATCTGATGACGGCATTACTGAATCGAGGTAATCGTGAGTGTATGGGGCAGAAGGGTTTACATTATAGATGTAAAAATGGGCACCGCCAAATTCAGAATCAGATGCAGCATACTCCATATCTTCAGCCTCTTCAGCAGCCCAGGTGCTTGCTCTTGGAGGCAATGACAATGGACGTGGCTTACCAGCTTCCCTGGCAAATGACCAATCCAGTAAACGAACCCGAGGAACTTCTGTGCGGATGAAGATATGAGTGTGTGGTGGGCCAGAAGTGATAGCCATACAAATGTTATAGGCTTGTCTACGCAAACCTGGGGTAGAGTAATCACTACGCAAAGTCATCGGCAAGTGATGAGGATGAAGGCGAAAACGATCCAAGAGAACAAGGTTGACAGGGGGCTGTGCAGTATGCACAGGCCGAGTAAGCCAAAAGAAATCGAAGAAGGCTTGCGCGAAAGGAAAAATAAATGGAATACCGCAAAATGGTCGGGACCGAAGACAGAGGTAGCGCTTCGCCCCTACTAGTTCTGACAGTCCAAGGCCTTGGAGGCCAGAGTAAGACATCTTCGATGGAGATTTGAAGATTGAAAATATGGAGTGAGAGATAGGAGAAGGGAATGATCCCGGTGTTAAGTAGCGAGCACCGTTAGCATCAAGAGGAACTACGAAAATCCCGCTATCAGAGCTGGTAATATGGAAGGAGTCAGGAACATCCCGGAAGCCTCGGTTGACATGGATTAAGGCGATCCGCTGGTATCTGGGTGCAGATTGACTGACGTCAGTTGGATCCACCACATAAGTCGTATATGGAAAGCCGAGTGGTGAGGTGTGCACCATCAGAGCATATGCAACAGAAGCATTGAGAAGCAATAATCTCAGCCATTTAGAAGCTTGATGAGATGTAACTTGAAGATACCCGCCGAGAAAGAGACCAACTGGAGATAAAATCATAAAACACAAAGCTGCAATAACAACATCTGGCTTAACAGTCTGACCTATCCGGCCGGTAATAGGGATAAGGACGTCAAAAAGCGAACTACCCAAATAGGCCTGAACAAGAACAATGTAGGGAAGTGTTGATGCTAGTAGTATTGTTAAAGAGGGATCCTTTGGACGGAGTAGAGATGAAAGCGCGACACGAGAAAGCCAGGGTAGCATGGCAGTGATCGTAAAAAGATATGAAGCAGGACTATTAGCCAGATCTAATAATGACATAATGGAGAGGATAATCCCAACGCCGGCAATAAAATGATCCTGTTCGATTCTATTTGAGTTGACATCATTATGAGCGCTAACCCACAGGGCAGCGTTCAAAGATTTCTTAAATATAGAAAGTTCAAAAAGAGGTGAGGTCGGTACAGAAACAATAAATGTGTAAAATGTGGTCAGAAACCAAAAAAGGGGAAGAAAGAAAATGCCAAAAATATTGTACCGAATAGAATACCAAGACATCCGAGAGCCATATTTATGGATCAATAATCCGAGTGAGCAAAGAAATAAGAAACCAGAAAGTAACCAAATAAGATGAAGAAACACAGCAAAACAAACACCATAAAAATTTGTTTCATTTTTTCTTCGAATGTACAAAATCCAAGCAAAAAATATAACAACAAAAAAGGCGTCAAGGCAACGCCATATCCAAAATGGACACATAAAAAAGTAATAGCCTAGTACATCAAAATACACAACACGATCATAAGGCGGGACAACTACTGGCAGCTCCTGAAAACTAATCATGCCTCCCTCCTCCGAAGCCTCATCATAGTTTAAAGCCTGTTCAGGATTATTTAAAGGTTTCAAACGGGGAACAGCTTGAGTTTTAAGGTCGGAGACTAATGATGAAAGAAAATTGACAAGGTTATCACCTGCTTGCTGAAGACATTCAGTCTTTATCCGTTCTTCTACATCGTATTCAGTGTGATAGACATAACCGTCGTTTATATAAGCCATATCAATTCCAGATATAAGGCCGTAATCTCGAAAAATTCGAAAATCTGTATCAGAAGGAATTACACCAAGGTGAAAGATTTCCTCTCCGAATACATTGCCAAATGGCTGTCGAATATTAGATGAATAAGCGCTAACAAGAGTTTTCGTTGCCAAGCCTGGACCTGTCTGAAAAACAAACATACGCCCACCAACTCCAGCTCCTTCTAAGTTAATAAAGAGGACTATCCGCTTTGCCCATTTGTGCTGAGTTATAAATGCGTGACTAGCAGGCAGAAGGCTCTCCTCGGCCCCATTAAAAAGAAAGATTACATCAATATTGAGTGGTACATCGTTTAGAGCAAATATTCTGGCTGATTCCAGCATATTAGCACAGTTAACGAATGCGTCTGTAGCCCCTCGACTTCCAATAGCTGAATCATAGTGACAGTTGACTAAAATTGCAGGAGAGTAATCGACGGGCCCATTTTTTGGATTATGCATCAAAATAGCAATGTTTCTTACAAGTCCATAACTCATTATGTGAGTATGAGCTCTAAAACTTGAAAATGAGGATAGGTGATCCTCTATATAAGCCTCGAGACCATTGGATAGAGCTATATCTGAAATAAGTTGGAGTTGGGCCAAGAGATATCTGCGGGCCAAGATTTCATTTGAATAGGAACCCGCCATTCTGACTCCATATCCAGTAACTGTTTTAAGATGGGTTCGTGCAAGGGATTCATTTATGGATAGGTTAAACAGACCACACTTAGATCCAAAGTGGCAGCCTGTACGGCAATCATCGTTCAGGTGGATAACATAAATGGAAGTAATAAAAAGAATAGAAAAGAGAGAAAACCAAAAAACGAGGCCTATGGGTTTTTGTAACAATGTATGCTCAGAAATAGATGAAGAGCTGGATATGTCCGATGAAAAACACGATATAATAGATTCTTCACGGTCTAATGCGGTTTCCGGAATATACCGTTGTCTAATGAACATGTTGTAATCAAAGTACGAGTAGATATCTCAAAGGACCAGAGTGGCTTTTTGTTCTAAATACAATAGGGTGTAAGAAGCGATAAAGTAACCTCATCGGGTAAATAGGACAGGCTAATAGTGACGAGGAAAGCGCCGCAAATCGTCTTATTAAAACCAGACTGTATTGTTTAGGCTCAAATCGTAAAATAATATAATTAGTTTTCAAAATAAATCAAATAATATGTTTTTTAATTAAAATATGTTAATATTATGTGTTTGTGACAGTAATATTAAATAAAATGCTACTTGAGTGACTTACAACGATATAATTATTCATGTGTGCCTATGGAAACATTATTTAAAGGCTACTCAGTATTAGTTATCTTTTATTATTTTTATTCTATTATTAAATATATAAAATCTTTTAAACTAAATTTTTGAGAGCGAGCTATGAATTGTAGCAAGATATACCCTGGAATATATCGAAGATCGAATAATTTGTATCATCATTATTGCTTAGAAAAGCATATCTTTTTAAGTATACTTAGGTATGATTTACTAAGGAACTTGTGGAAAAAAATTATGGGCTTGTGGATAAGAAGATCAAGATAATGTGTCCTATGCTTAGATCCCTGTCTTCTATTGTTGAATTGGAGTAGTCTGACTTGGTTTTCACGGCCTGATCACGTTGTTAAGGCAATTTAGTTAGATGAACCCTGTTTAAAGTCCTCTGCTATAGTAGTTATGATAATTCTCGGGCTACACCCTGCATATAGCACATTACCAGACGTTTCACTGACATCATAGCCGCCATCGTCATTGAGAGTTGCAATACATGGAACCATGTCAACTCTGTAAAGAGAAATCTCAAGTCAATCCCTTGAGCAGCATTCTGCTTAATAGTTATATGATCGCTCTTCATTCTATGCTGGTAAATATATTTACCTTCTAACCTCATATCTCACTCTTTTCCTATCATAACTTCTAATTTGCTTACATTAAACTTCTCTAAATGTGTACCATTTTGTGCCACTTTAGTTGGGTTTTATCATACTTGCTTGCTCATTTTTTACCCTCTCCCTCTCAACTTATCAAAATTGCTGATTCTATTCAGACCTGCCTCTAAAATAAGTTTTTTATCTTACACGTCGGTACTGGTTTGACCTAGTTTTCCCATGTGGAGACCTTGTGGGACGGACTTAGCACTGCGTGCTCTGTCATAGCATTCAAGATAATTTCTAGTATAGGAAAAATGACTTGATACAATTCCAGACACTTCACCGCCACCTCAGTTGATAGTGTCAAAGAGAGGTGCACAGAGTTACAACCTGTCAAAGAGACAGCTGAAGGCAAACACCTTGACCACTCTTCTGCTCAACCATTGTCATACCATTCTTCACTCCACTTTTTGTCCTAGCTTCTTGTACTGCAGCTCTTTGCTTCAATCCCATTTTAGATGGCCCATTTGTCTATTCAAGATATTCTGTGTTTTGTTTTTTACAATATTGACCAAGAGTGCGTCGATTCAAGTAGATTTATTTAGACATAATAACCCTCCACACAGGTTTTAGATGCCATTCGCAGAGCATCTATGTTATACCTTGCGACTCTAATTTAGCCCTCTCTTACCTCGAGCATTAGTTATTTCCTGTTACACATGAAAATCTCTGTCTAACTGTCCGAAATCTGATTGTCCATGAGTTTTTTATTCCAGTCCCGAGGATTTACAGTCAGTAGAACCTCATTCCTGGGCCTTTCTTCCCACATAAGCTTAAGACCAATGATCCAGTTGTGCTTTTTCTTATACCAAGTACATTCTCTGAAGACCTAGGTCTGGCTTGATCGAAACTACTGGTGTCAGAAGGTATTGTTTTCTTTATTCACTACAGAATCATGTAAAGCACTCTCCTCTTGTCTTTCAAGTTAGCAGTCCTACCTAATCCCACGTTTATAGTCATTTATGCATGTGTACATTGGTTGGTAGCCACCCTAGTCAGGCATCTTTTCAGTCACCTCTCACTACAGATACACACACAGAAGTTATACAAGCACACGCACACTAGGGACAACT